TTACAAACTCTTTTGTGAATACGAGTTTCAATATTAATAAAGGAATCAATTTAAAACTTATATCTTTCTGCCTCTTCATGTCTTCATATAGTCTGACGTGATCCTTACACATTATTTGTAATTGAGTTTGTCATCTGAATTCTTTAATTAAAATTATTCATAATCTCGTCTTTCAAGTCTTCATACTTGATAGATTCGTTTAAGTCTAACGTGTAAACTTGGTAAAGTTAAGAGTTAAGCAGATCCTAACGTCTTAATTGCAGTAAGCTGTAGTTAAGAAATTTCGAGTAGAGACTTGATAATGTGACCACCTCGAGTTGAAGAATTTTACAATAACAATATTAACTTTAATTTTTTATTTTATTTCATTTTAAAATAATTTTAATTTTTTATTTAAAAATTTATTTTTTTTCTTTAAATAATAAAATATATTTAAAATATAAAAAATTTTGAACTTCTTTATTTTTAAAGAAAACTTTAAATATTATAAATTAGAATGATTAATTTTAAAAATATTATAACTGTTTTTTAAAAATAATTAAAATATTAGTAATTTAAAAATATAAAAATTAAGTAGACTAATTAATATATAGATCTATTATTTATAAATAATTATCATTATATTAAATATATATATTTATTTGTAAAGTAAAATTATATATTAAATAGTTAGATTGATTTTTTTTGAAATTAAAATCTTTTTATTTTTTTTAAATTTATTATTTTTTTTTAATTCTAATTCAAAATATTTAATAAAATATTTATTTTTAAAATCATTGTTATTCTTTAAATAAATTTACTTTTATTTAGTTTTTTTTTTAAAAAATAAATCTTTTACATATAATATAAAATAAAAAATATTACTTATAAATTTACATTTTAGATAAAGTTTTAATATAATATTTATAATTATATATATTTAAAAATTTATTAAAACTTATAAAATTTATAATTTATAAAAATTAAAAATTTTAAAAATACATATATAGACACTTTGCAGTAAAAAAGAAAGGAAACTATCAAAAAAATTTTTTTAAGTTAATATTAAATCTGAATTTATTTTACTAAAAAAATAATATATAACTTAGAAAGTAAAAAAAAAATTTTTTTGATAGTTTTTTCCCTTTTTTCTGCAAAGCGTCTATATATATTATAATAATATTAATAAAAATTTACAATATAATTTGTATATTAATTTACTTATTAATTAATATTTTTAATTAAAATATATTACAATTATTTAGATTAATTAAATTATAAATATTTTTTAATATTATCCTTTAAATTATCTAGCAGATAAATTTGTCTACAAACTTAAAAAAGTGTTATTTTTTTAATAAAATATTAAATATTAATTTTGTAATATAATAATTATATATAAAAAATAGTTTAATATATGTTTTATTAATTTTATTAAAAGAAATTTTAAGTTTATAAAATATTTTTTAAATAATTTAATTTTTAAATTTAAGTTTTAAAAAATTTATTATAATAATTTTTTAAAAAATTCTTTAAATTTATATGTTTGTGAACTAATTGAATCACTTTACTACTAATAAAAGTTATAAAATTTCTTAGTAAATTATAAAAAATATAATAATTAAAGTTATTTTTCATGATAAATTTTATAATATTTTATTATAATTAATATTACTAAAAGTAAATATTAATAAGGTTATTAAAGGTTAATAATGAATTTTTTAATATAAAAATATTTTTAAAATTACAAATTTTTAGCTTATAAGTAACTTTAAATTATTTATTATATAATTAAAAAATAAAAATTATAAATAGGCAAATTTACCTATAAATTTCTATAATTTAAAAGATAGTAATTGTATTTTATAAAATCTGAATCTAATCTGAATTTGATAAATTTAGATCAGATTTATCAAATTCAGATTAAATTTAGATTTAAATCAGATAAGATTTATCATATTTAAATTTAAATTTAAATCTAATAATCAGATTCAAATTTAGATTTAAATTTGATCTATCATATTTAAATTTGAATTTAAATCATTTAGATTAAAACTAAAATGTTTTTTTTTAATAAAAAAAAATATTTTTTTTAGATTTTTTTTAAAATTAAAAATATTTTTATATTAAAAAAAATAAATTTTCAGTTTTAAAAAAAATGAATTTTCAGTTTTAAAAAAAAGCAAATAAGTTTTTTTAAAACTAAAATTTCTTCTTAATAAAAAGAATTTTTTAGATATAAAAATATTATATTAAATTTATAAATTTTAATAAAATAATTTTTTCAAAAATTATTATATTAAATTTTAATTGTAATTGTATTGTAAATATAATAAATTAAATATTTTAAAGTTAAAAATATTATTTTTATTACATTTTTGCAATTAATTGAATATTATAAAATTAGTAATATTAATGTTATAAAAATACAATTGATATTCAAAATATTAAATTATATTTTTTATAATATTTGTTATTTGATTTTAACTAATAACTTTAATCATAATAAAAATAATATAATAAAATTATAAAATTTTGATCAATTAATTATTTAGCTATTTTAATCATAACTATAGTTAAATATTAATTTGAATTTTAGTCATTAATCTTAAATTATATTTTATTTAATTATAATTAAATATTAACTTTGATATATAAAATAAAACAAATAATTAAAAATTATAAAATTATATTTTATATAATAATATAAAATTTATATAATTTGAAATTAAAACTAGCTTATTTTATTAATTTTTTACAGCTTATATTAATATTCTATTGATTGTATTAATTCAAATAATATCAAATTAGAAATATTATATTACTTTTTGATATAAATTAATATAAATTTTTATTATTTACTTTTTTATATTTTTTTAATAATATGTTAAAGATTTTCTATTAAATTTAAATCAAATCTATTATAATACTAGTGCTTAAATAATTTTTAACATGTAATGTATTTTAGATCATTTGTTATATTACTGATATTAATACTTATTTTTTCAATCTCTAAAAGTTAATTACAAGAATATTTTATATAAAATTTAGCATTTATTATTTTAAAAAATATAAAATTTATTTTTTTTATATAAAAATTTTTTTAAACAAAAATTTTTATTTAATTTTTAAATATAGAATTAATGTTACTTATCTAAGTCTATTTTAAATTTAGTAAAATATCTAAATCTTTAATTTTCTAATGTTTATTAAGGTTTTAATATAGTTTTGCTATTTTTATAAATTTTAATATAATCTTAAATTATATAGATTTTTAATATAAAATTTAATAAAATTTTACCTTTTACTATTTAAATAACTTGTAAACCTTTTAAGTTTTATTTAATAATCTTATATAAAACATATTAATCTTTATTTTTTTATACCAATACAAAAGAGTTGAAAAGTAATCTTATTTGAAAATGATATATTATTATTTTAATTATTATTAAGATATCTTTAGGTTTATTTATATATTTATGTTTATAATCAATCAGTCTTAGTATTATTTTTGAAGGATTTTTTTTTAATATTCATTATTAGTTAAATATCTATCTATTATTCTATAAGATATATTCACATTTATTAAAAATAAATTTTTTAATATAATTCTAAAAATCTCAGTAAATATAGGTTAATACTCTTGATGTATTTACTAAAATTTTTTAACTAATCACTTTCTTCATATATTAAATTATTTTAAAATTTTATGTATAATAGAAAAGGATTTATTTGTCTGATTATTGATCTTTTTAGCATTTAAATACTTTTGATTCTATAATTATTATATTGTCAAACAGTGTTTAGAGATTATATTTCTAATTGAAAATTTTTTCAAAGAATATTTTGAAAAGTTAAAGATAGTAATAAAAAAGAAAATTAAAACCATATATTTTTAATGCAAAATAAAGAAAAATAGTATTCTCTTCTTATTCTATGTTATATTATTTAATTAATTTAACAGAATTTTGTATAATTTTATTTTGTGAAAAATTTTTCGGATTTTTTTTTTTTGGTTTAAGCCTGTATATATATAATTAATTTTAAAAGTATATACTTATGAAGAATATAGTATATTTTTTGAAAAGCTTCTTATATTATTATTTATTACTATTAAAGAAATAATATTTTAAAACACTTTAAAGTGACATCATAACAATTTGAGATAAAATCAAATTTATATAAACTGTTTTTGTTAAAACCTCTATTAACCAAAAATTTAAAAATTTTTTTTTTTTAATTAAGTATTACAAATAAAGTATAATCTTGCGTATACACATAATCAAATATCCAATTCAAAACTTGTTTCATCATATATTTTTCCATTCCGTTTGTTTATCGCGGTTGCTTTAACTTCCAACCTAGCAAACGTTAATGAAAATTCTATTGGACGATTAAGACCGTCTTTGATATCTGGCATTAATATTCGTAATGTTCCTAATAATTTAACACCAGATTCGTCACAATATATAGCATCATCTTTTGTAGTATAATAAATTTTAAATAATGCACTAGTTTGATTTGGTTTAACTGGGTAACAAGTTTCTGGGAATGGTTTGTTGACTTCTACTTGAGTTCGACGTTTAACCATTCTTCGAAATTCAAATATTTTTCCATCAGGTGTTCTCCTATCTTCGTCATCTTCACCTGCAACCTAAATGTGTATCATTAAATAAAATTTATTCAAAAAGAAGAATTGGATTTGAAGAAATGTTGAATAGATCATACGTACCCAATCTCGACAAACCTGGATACCATAGGTCCATTTAAGAACACGCTTTCTTACAACGTCAATATTTAAGCCGTATACTATAGCACCCCTAACGACCGCAGCTTTTGAGTTGACTGGTACAGAAATATTTGGAACCCTGCTTCCAAAGGTTTCTCTTACTCTGCGCAGGAGGTAAGGAGATTCGCCAAAACCTCCCACCAAGAACATTGCAGAAATTCGTTCATTAGCGTCATCTAATTGACTCTCAATTAATTCTAATATTCTATTTATGACAGGGTCAAACATCCCTTTCACCGATGTAAAATCAAGCTTTAACGTCCAACCAATGTTTTCCAAATTTTGTCTATGTTCTCCTTTAATATATTGTGGTAACTCGTCACAATATTTGAATAAATTAAGTTTAACTTGTCTAAAATCTTCCGGGTTACCATTAAATTTAAATTTAATTAAAGGACAAAAAAACTTTTGAACCAAATGTTGCATTTGTCCATAATTATGTAATTTTAATTTTTCTAATGCTTGAAATCCGACTTTACGTCCAAGCCAACGTAAAAACTCTTTATCTATGAATGTGCTACCACATAAATCGCCGACACGCTCAGTAATTTCAACTAATTTGTTATCCTGAAGAAGTTGTGTTGTTATGTCGATTGTACCACCGCCACAATCTGCAACCAAGAAAGTATCTTTATTTGAAGAAAATACGACAATTTAATTAAGTGCTGCTCCTATTTTTCATTTTTTTTTTTTTTTTTTTTTTTTTTTTTTTTTTTAATAAAAAAAGATGTATCTATACCTCCGGGACGAAGACCATGTTCCCCAACAACACCTAGACAATATAAAGCTGCTGCTTCCGCTGTATATAAAAAGGGAGGAAGAGATTTTTTAATAATTTAATGAGAATACTGTATATAAAATAAATCATACATACGTTCTGTAGTAAATTCAAGGTTAGTTGAGTCTAATGTTTTTATTAAGCCAGCTTTGTATGCGCATCTGCGCATAATCGCTGTGGTATGATGTGGCTATATTTATGTTTTTTTTTAAAATAGAAAAAAAAAAAAAAATTTTTAAAAAAAAAAAATAAATTAATCTATCTTTCATCAATACCTTGAATAACATACCCATTCAGCAGGAATGGTTAGAATCAATCCAACTTGTAGCGGAAAATTAATTCCTGGAAATCTTTTCTCTATCGTATATTTAATGCATAGTTGCATTTGAGTTAAATAATCCTCGATCGCTTTTTTATATTCAAATTGCGGAGGCAACCAAGGTTTTTGATACTCTTCTAAATCGGATATATACAATTTAAAGAGTTCAACTGGACGAGGGCGTAATTCATCTGATTCGTAATCATAATCGGATTCGTCCTCCAAGGCCGAAGTACCCCAATTTTTAACCTCTTTATAAGCTTTATCATATAGCAGTGCTGTAGGAGTTTTGTAGTCACCTACGCTATCCGGCCTTTTTATTTCGGTTAACAATATAAATTTCAATGTCTAAACATATTCATTTTTAGTAACAACTTGAAATTCGAAACTTACCAAATATCATTAGTTACAATATCTGGGTTTCTTATCGAATCACCTTTGTGAACATAGGCAAAGCCTGAAAAAGTTGTTCCAAAGTCTATAGAGACAAGAATTCTGGTATCGCGTAAAGACATACTTTGCCCAAAAAATTTTCTCTATAAAATAGAGGTGAGATAGATTCCATAAAAATCATTTTTGCATGACAATAACAAATGATTCACGATTTCCCCCCCTTTTTTTTGGAAGCGATAATCTTTGCCTTACTTGATTGTTATACAATTTTGATTTTTGTTTTTTAACATCAAGCTCCTACCCTCCCAAATTTTAATATGTTTAGACAAAACAACGGACGTTATTACCTTGAAGATGTTGCCGTAATAGATTGGAAATTAATCATGTGGTTTGCTTCATTTAAGCAATTTGAAAATTATGTGGATCTTTTTATCACAGTTTGGAATTTCATTAAACAGAAAAACGATAATATTTTTGAAGAATTAAATGGAGAAGTGAATCGAATGAAAGAACATATTAAAAGTTTATTAACAAATCAGGCTATCAATGACGAAGAATACAAGAAATATTCTTGTTTATTAGATAATTATAGAACTAGTCATATAAGTTCTAATAATTTTGAAGGAAGGAATAGAATTGCATCTAATTCTTATCGTAATTTGTTAAATAATGATTTAGAGAATCAATTTCATCATCATTTAACGACAACATTAAGCAATTTGAAATTATTTCAATTAAAGCTTATACGTCAAATGATTTTAGATAGGATGGATTCATTTGTTAACATTTCAATTAAATCAACGAAAAGTTTACGCGAACAAATTGCCACTTTGGATAACGAAAATTCACACCTTCAAGCAGCTTTAGGAAATATGACAAATACTCGTCCGAATGATCATGATCCGAATAACGCTGCCAAACTAAATTCGGATATAGTGGACCTACAACAGCAACTTTCGGATTTTACCACAGTTTTTGATTATGAGATAAATGATGAGAAAGCAAAAGAATTGTTTGCTAGTAACAAAGTTAAATTAGATTTTTCAAATCCAAAGGCCAAGACGATTTTAGAAGGCTGTCTTCAACGACTTATCATAGAACAAATTTTAACTGATGCTAACTCGTATTTCCAGAAACACATATCAAATTCGGACAACGATGAAAATTTAGAAATCGAAATTATAAATACCACAGATAGATTAATAGAATCTGTTAATCGCCTTCATGAAAATCGTCCAGGAAAAGATGATATCACACAAATCACTCCCATTAGAGTTCGTCAACAAATTTACTCTGCTCTTGGATGTCGTGGATTTTCGAATGATGATCATCAATTGATCTTAGATATATCGGAAAAGATACGTCAAACAATGGATGAATATCGAAAAATTGATGAAGAAAATATTAAAGATTGCATTGATCAATCGATTCAAATTACTCGTAAAGTGATTAGTATATTCTATTTCCGTTTAAAAATTCAACAAATTCATCAACAATTTGAACCCAAGTATCGTTTCTTTGAAAGTGGGGACGAAATAGATGTTCGTCTTATGGAAGGTTCTTGGGGTCGCGGAGATGTTAAGAAATTCGAGGTTGAAATTTGTTATTTTCCTTGCATAGAGTTCTGCGATAATGATGATTCATCAAATCAAAAAGTTTTAACAAAAGCTCAAGTATTCGCGAGACTTAAGAAATTATGACTACAGCTTCAAGATTTATGAACTATTATTATTTTGATTTATTGTATATTATATATATTATATTTATATCTAATAATAAAAAGAACATTTGAACAATCGAATTAATGTACTTCAATTTATTAACAAATTTTTCTTCACTTTAATTTTTTTGCTTTTTTCATAAACAATAAGATATTGAGGAATACAAGCAGATTCATCATATACAACCAATTCGTCATAATTAAGTAAAGTACCAGGTTCACCAACAATGCTATCATAATTATTCGGAGGGCCCGTTAGAGTTTTGTCAGCTTGAGTTAATTCAAAAGTTCTACCAACAATTACCTTATTTAAAAACATTACTTTATACTTTATACCTTCGGAAGTTATTAAAGATTTGCTATTGAAATCGTCAGATTTTGATGATGTCCCTGAAAAATAAATTCCTTCCCCAAATTTTTGACATCCAAATCTAGATGATTTTGCAAAATCTAATTTATATCCTTCCGTTATTATTCTACATACTGCACAATTTGAATTTGAACAGAGCGCATCCGTCTCAACCCCCAAACGACATTCCCTAAAGAAATTTGTTTAATTTAATTAATTATTTTTTTTTTTTTTTAAAAGAATGAAGGTAGGAAACTCAATCGTTGATTCGAAATCTCACATTTTTGTTCCATGAAATCTACGTTGCTCATTTCCTTTTGTCATTAGACGTTTGCCATCACCTTTGGGAAATGGTCTACCCTCAAGTTTTCTTAATTTTTCAATATAATTTCGATGCACGTTGTACAGTGATTTAATTTGTTCATCGGGAAAAATTTTGTAAATTGTATGTATTCTTGGTAAAGCCTTGCTCACGTGTTTCCAAGAATATTCAAATTGATTAGAAACATCTTCATACTTGTCACTGTGTTTAGAAAGCTTAATCACACAAGGTCCTAAATTATACAGAGAAAAGATAAATTGAAAAGATTGAAGAAATAATCTGACTCCAGTTCTGTACCTACCGTTCTCTTTAACCCAATCTTCACATTCTACACAAAATTCTTTCTTAAAAGGTGTATATTCTTCTTTACATTTCAAACATAATTCTTGACTCTTCACCAAGGATTTCCAATTATGTGTCATGTTTCGACATCGTTTAGAACACCATAAAGAATTTAACATCGTAACGTCATTTACCTTTAAAAAAAAATAAATTCAAAAACAAATGTTTAATATAAAAGAAAGCACATCTCACCCAAACTAACAAACAAATCCTTATCCGCATTTACTTTACAAGTAATACACTTTAACGTGCACTCTGATACATTTCTACATTGAAACCAGCCACAATATTGGCTCGATTCAAGTTTAGCAAATTCCTTGCAATGTATACAGGGTTTCGTAAATCCTGAACTTAAAGCTTTCCTACGACATTCATCACTACAATATTCACCGGGATACCCGTCGGGATCGAAATCTTGTTCGTATTCTGAACAATAAAGACAATTAAGCATTCTCTTTGAAATATTTTTGATGAGGAGAAAAAATTTTAGTCCAACAAAAAATGACATCATAATATCCAGTCCAAATATGGTTGTACAATATAACTCATTGTTTCTGAAAAAGGTTACTTGTAAAACCCTTCAGATGTTTTAAAACTTAAATAATGTGTCCAATTAAATGACAATAATTAAAATTTAAATGATAATTTCATGAGGATTGAACGTGCAATTTAATAGAGATAAATTTATTATCATAAAAATATATTATAATATAACATATAAATACATGATTTATAAAAAAAAGAAAAGGAAATTTCAAAAAATAAAAATTCGCTATCGCCTCTCTTTGATCATTAATTACTGGTTGCCACTATTGCTTCTCTTCGGTCTTGTAATTATTTGAGCCTTTGTAAATACGCTTTGTTTTGATCGATCATCACCATTGAATACACCAATGCAAGGAAATGAGCAGACTTCCACCTCCATTCTTTTAGAATCATCACGTCCAAAACTTCCTTGCATGAGACGAACATCCACATCATGACCAGCTTCGAAAAATTGATGTTTTAGTTCAAAAGCCTGTGTCTTTAAACGAAAACTAAAAATATTAATAACGTTACGAGTTATTTTAATAGCTTGATCATGTAATTCATCGTTGGTTTCTTTATCTACGACTTGTCTAAATTTGTCCAACTCATTCAACAATTTCTCAACGGTTCCCTTAATTAAAGGATGTTCATCATCGGAGAATCCTCGACATCCAAGAGTTGAATAACTTTGTTGACGAATTCTGCCTGGTGTAATTTTAGTGAGCTCGTCATCTCCTTTACGGTTATCCCTGAATTTTTCTGTATAACTAATTAATCTTTCGGTAGCATTAACGAGATCGCATTCAAGAGTCATGTCGATTCCACGGTCTTCATAAGAAGAAGTGTTTTTGAAATATAGTTCGACTTCTTTCAAGATTGTCGTTATTACGTAACGTTGAAGTACGGCTCCTAAAACAACCCTTCCCTTCGTACTCGGGTATTCTACTTGACATTTATACTCCTTTATAAGATTTCCTGATGTCATATCATTAATCTTATAATCCCCTCCCTGAACCATCGTAAAATCCGAGAGCAAATCTTGTAATTCTTCAATATCAGAGATTAACTTTGATGCATTATTTGGATCATCATGATTCCAGGATACATTTGTAATATTACCAAGAGCTGCTTGTTGTTGTGAATTCTCTTTCTTCAAGGACAATATTTGATTTTTCAAATTTTCATTTTCTTTTAAAAGTGATTTACTTTTGCTAATTTCGTATACTTTTGACATTTGTGTTGCAAGTATATTAAAAGATTTCATTCTAGAAAAAATCATTTGTCTTAAAGATAATTTTTGTTGGTTTGTACAAACATCTAATTGTTCCGAAACATTACGAGGATCTAGATTTAATCCGCTATTTTCTAAACTTTCCCAAGCAATCCTTAACAATCTTTTTTTTAAATTTGGATTATTATAACGATGATTTCTATAATCATCTATAAATTTAGAAAAGTTTAAATCATCAACTGCTCCTAAAGTATTTAATTCTTCAATAATTTCAACCATTTTACTCGTCTCCTCATTAAATTCTATTGAGAGATCCGTATCAGATTCAATAGGAATAGCGTCCCAAACTATAATAAATAAATGAATCAAATTTTCAATTTTTTTCAAAGAACCAAACCACATGAATAATTTCCAATCATAATGATCATAAGTATGAATTTTAATTCCCCGATGTTGTTTAGGCTTATGAGAACCTTGATAATATGTATTTTTCTCTGCCATTTTAAAATAACAACAAAAAGCAAAGAATATTTCAAAAAAAAAAAAAATTTTTTTTAAATACAAAAAGACGTAATATAAAACTTGAATTATATCTTGTTTCGGTTTCAATGTGAGGCAAAAGGGCTTAAAAAGGAATTATATGCTATTGTCAATCTATTTAATTCCTCAGAAAAAATTTCCGGGAAAACAAAAAAATATATATGGATTTACGAGATACTAGAATCCTTGTTGCAGTAGATTTTGGAACAACTTATTCTGGCTTCGCTTATGCTCATAAAGAGAACCCTGAAAATGTTGTTGTAAATAATTCTTGGTGAATATATTTTCAATTAACGTAAATCGTCTTTAATATTTCACAGATAGATTCTCATTTCTTTTGTTTTAATTAGGCCAGGGAGGGAAGGTGTGTTTAAAACACCCACAGCGCTTCAATATGATGAAAGATATAATAAAGTTATAAGCTGGGGATATAATGCATTAGTAGAAGAACCTGATGAATTAGAAGAAATATCGGACGATTCGGAAGAACAACGTTCGCGTCCCGTAGAATTGTTCAAGTTACATTTGTCAACGTTAGGTTGGAAAGAAAAACCTTGGTTACCACCCAGATTCGGGTATAAAAAAGCTGTTAAAGATTATTTAGGTAAATTAGGCGAATTGATCAGAGAAACTATTGAGAGACGATGGCCGACTGTAAGCTTTCCTCGACAAGTCGATTTCGTATTTACAATTCCTGCCGAATGGGTAAGTGTTAACTAAGTTGCTTTAAATTATTGTCATTAGTTATCTAATTGTTTACTTTTTATAAAATTATAGCCTCCAAATACAACCAAAATCATGAGAGAATGTGCACACGACGCAGGATTATTGAGTTCTCTTAATTCAAATAATATCGAATTTACTACTGAGCGTGCGTTTATTATTTTGTAATTTATCTATATTACCTTTATTTATTTATTTTTTTTTAATCGTAAATCTTTGTATATTTCCATCAGCCGAAGCTGCGGCACTTCACTGCCTTAGTGTCCTAAAAGAGCATCACCTAGGCCCAGGGGGTATATATTACATTCTTACTGTATTGTTTAAAAATAACAAATTTAATTCGCGTTTCTAATGATCATCTCGTTTCTTAAATAGATTCCTTCATAGTAGCCGATTGTGGCGGTGGTACAATTGATTTAACATCACGAAAACTTCTTCCAGGAAATAGATTAAGTGAAATCACCGAACGTGTTGGTGATTTATGTGGTGGTTCATTCGTAGATAAAAGATTTTTAAAATGGCTTGGAAAGAAATTAGGCGCTGACGCTTTAGAAGAATTAAAATCAAATAATTATGGTCAAATGCAATATATAGTACAAAGGTTTTTTTGTCAGCGTATCAAATATAAATTTAATGGAGAAAGATCAGAATATAAACCTTTAAAATTAAATGTACCGCACTATTGCCCTGATTTAAACAGATATGTCACGGGAGCATACAAGGAACAAATGGAACAAGTTGGATGGGTGTTAAAGGTTGATTTTGATTCCGTTATAGAAATGTTTGATCCTATCGTTACTCGAATTGTTAAATTAATTGATGATCAATTAAAAGGTTCGAAAGAAAAATGTTCGGCAATGTTTTTGGTGGGAGGATTTAGTGAATCCCCTTATTTACAACGTAGGGTTAGGGAGGCTTTCAGCTCTAAAGTTCCCATTATCTCTGTACCAGCTTTACCAATAGCAGCCATAGTTCGTGGTGCCATAACATATGGTTTTAATATCGATATTGTACATGATAGAGTATTGAAATGGACGTATGGAATTGAAGTTTGTCGCAAATGGGCAAGTATTACCATTTTATTAATTATTTGTATTTTAAAAGAGGGATCACCATTTAACTCGATCAATACATATCCGTTTATCATTTAGGAACCTAACAAAGACAAGGCCTCCAGGAAAACGTCTGATGGGTTAATACTTTATTTTCATAAATTGGCACAACGTGGTAAAAGTGTTGGAGTGAATCAAAAATTCACGACAGATTTTTTTCCTACGAGAGCCAATCAAGAAATTATCTCTTTTAATATATATTATACTCCAAGATACGGTGCGAAATTTTGCGATGATCCGGGAATGAAACTATTAGGGACCCTAAGGGTTAGAGCGACTGATACTCATCTAGGTTTAAATCGACCTATTGAATTTTTGCTTGCATTTGGTAAAATGGAAATTAAAGCTACCGCTAAAAATAAAAGAACTGGTAGAGTTTATAACGAGACTACTTTTGATTTAGATATTTAACAAGGGAACCTATTAGGAAATTCATTTTATCACTTTTTTTTTCAATATGTAAAGTTTTGTTTTTTATTTTAAATCTTATTATGTATTTATTTCATTAATTGAATGATCATTGAATAGTTGGATTATTGGATCATCCAGTATCACGTATTAAATAATTAATCGAATTAATTCCAATTTCTGATTAACTCACTATAACATTTTGATGTTTTATTTAAATCACGTATTTATTTAATTCGCGTATATACATATAATAAAAATAAAAATAAAAAAAAATACAAATATAAAGAAAGAATTAAAAAATCGAATTCTCTAAGAAATATAGCTCAAGAATCTTTTAATTCTTCCATTTTCCTTTGGACGAACAAAAACTTGAGCTTTACTAAAAACTTGATTATCATGTTCGGACATAATAAGAGGGAAATACGCAAAATCCACCTCCATTTCTTTGATATTTTCATTCTCCCAATTACCTACAGTAAGATGTGATTCTAGATGAGCACCGGGTTTAAACCATTGAATCTTTGCTATCGGTTCTTGAGCTTTCAAACAAAACCATAATTGCAGACCAGCGCGAATAACTTTTCCAGCATCAGAACGTAGTTCGTTCTTCTTTTCATCGTCTATAACTTCACGATACTTTTCCATCTTAAACAAAATTTTATTAACAAGTTGGGAAACGAGTGGATGGTTAGAATTAGCAAATCCACGAGATCCTAGAGCAGCGTATACTTGTTGACGAATTTTAACTGGAGTTACAGCAGTCACGCTATCTTTTCCTTCACGAGTTGTAGTCAATATATTTGTATATTCAATTAGATATGATGCATAATATACTATATATGACTCGAGAAGTTTATCGCTAAAGGAATTAGCGTGTTTAGCGTACTTAAATAAACCATCTGCGAAATGAAAGATTGTTTCGAGAATCATTCGTTGAAGAGCACCTGCTAGATAATTTTTAATTTCTTTCGAATCAAGAATTGCTTTACATTTATAATCAGCTAATAATTGTTTAGCAGCATCCTCGTTAATTTTAATAGTTTTCCCTTTAACTTTAGTAAAATCAGTTAAAGAATGTTGTAAGTTCTCAATATCTTTTGTTATTTGGATAGGATTGTTTAAAGTGCTATCACTCCAACGAATATTTGTTGCGCTACCAAGGGCGGCTTGATAAGTCGTTGCTTCTTCTTTAGCAGATTTTACTTCTTGGAGTAATTCTTTAGATTCTTCTTGATGTTGTTTAATATTCGCTTCATATGCTGACTTTATTTTATCACGCTCTTGGGTTACCTTAACATTATTCGCCATAACCTCTTTAACAATTTCTTCCCCTTGCTTTTCTAATGCTTCTTTCTCTTTGAGTTGATCCTTTAATTCTTTGTTGGTAACGATAAGTTGTTCGTTTTTCGTGGTTAATATTTTATTTTCGTTGACTTTATCATTATACAAATTTTCATTGTTCTCTTTGAATTCATTTAATTCTTTATTGACGTTGAGAAGTCTGCTGTGTACGTTAAATAATTCACTATATCTCTGATTTAATTCGGAATTCGAATTTCTAACCGCTTGAACAGAAGCTTTTAAATTGTTACATTCATGAACAGCCGCATTTTTTTCTTTTAATACCTCAACGTAATATGGATTTGTAATGCAATGATATCTTTCCATATGAGTAGTCTTATGAGATTTTAAAGTAGTTCTCAAAAAAGCGATCTTTGCTTGAACTTTTTGATGAGTCATAAATCTTAAAACTAATCGTTGTTCAATACTGAGTCGTTTTAACATATTAATGATGTGCACAGCTTCGTTTAACTTAACTTGTAAAAAATTAAATGTAGTATGCAATAAGTTATCTCTTTTATCTTTATCATGATTTAAACGAAAACTTTTACATTTCTTGATTAAATCCAAACAAGGATTATAAGTTTCTTTAGGAATCATTCCTGCTGTGTATATTTCTTCAATTTCTCTATGAATTATCTTCAATCCTGTTTCAATGTTAGGTTGTTCAGAACTTTCTCTAGATTCTTCAGTTGCTAGAATTATCCATTTAGCGAAATCATATTGCCAGTTAGAACCACTTCCAAACCATTCCGCTAATTGCCACAGTGATTGATCTATTGCCGGGACAGATGGAGTAAATGACGACGTAAAGGTCGAAGATGAATCATCTGATCCACCCATTTTTTTCTTTATAAAATTTTGAAAAATATTTTTTTTTTTTGCTTTTTTTTTTGCTTCGGAAACAAAAATTTTCTTTTTTTTTTTAAAAAAAAAAAAAAAAAAAAAATAATTTTAATAATAACGCCTTTCCAAAAAAAAATAAAAAAAAAGGAATTAAATATACCAAGGTATTTTTAATTTTGCTGCGTCGAGAATTCAATTTAAGGTTTTGTTCAAAAAGATATTTTTGATAAGAATTGCATGATTATTCGGAGTAAACCTCCGTGATTACAATAAAGTATTTTCATTCTTATCATGTTTTCTTTGTTAAATATGAATTCCAATTTCGGACACAATTACAATAACTATGATAATCTACTGTCATAATAATTGAAAACGAGATTTTATCTGGTTACCATCATACGCGTATATGACTCATTTATTTATTAAATATTGATTTTAATGAGTCTTAATTGAGATCATAAATTGTTTGTTTTATCATTCAAATCAAGAACAAAGCGACTAAAAAACGAAGTCCATTTTTAAGCAAAAATCCGGAATTCTTTTTTCATCATTTCAAACTTTTTAAAAATTAGTTTCCCCCAAGAGCCCTTTTCTTGCATATAAAAATTTTTTTGAAACACTTTGAAATATTCATATTGTAAAGTGCTCATTTTACTGCGCAAAGAAAATTTTTTATTTTCAATTATGGGCCTTAGAGATTTTCGTGTGGTTGTCGCTATAGGTAACTTTTTTTGACATTAGTTTGTGTCCTCCTCATGTATTCTTTTATAACGTCTCTTTATCTTCAATTCATTATTCATTATACATTAAGACTTTGGGACTACGTATTCAGGTAAGATATATATATATATATCTTTTTTATACTGAAATATATTTTGTCAAAATTTATATGTAAAACAAAATTCTCTTCCTTTATCTGTCGCAAACAGGATTCGCTTACGCTTATCACATAAATCCAGATATTACAGTTCACGATTCATGGTATGTTATTAGTATTATCTTTTGCCGCATTAATACTTGTAGGCTCAAAATCCTTCTTTACTTGCTATCTTATTCCCGATATCCTTCCCCTTTCGTCTACCACAGGCCCGGACAAAATAAAACAAGATTAACGTCGCCAAAAACCAATACAGTTCTTCAATATGATACATCATCATCCGACCCAAAAAGTTGGACAGTGAATCATTGGGGATTTCCGGCATTAGCAGAAGAGCCGACTAGAAGAACTCGTCGCCATACTTCTAATAGTTCAGTTAAAAATTTACCCGTCGAATTATTTAAATTACATTTGGCCGATAATCTTAGTCATTATGATAAACCATACCTTCCCGAGGGCCTTGATTATACAAAAGCCATTACGGATTATTTGGCTAAAATGAAACCTGTAAGTAAAATGAGAAGGGCGAACATTTTGTGAGAGAATTGATAAGAATCCCTTTCCTTTTTTTTCGTTTTACAGTTAATCGAAGAAATTTTGACTAAAAGATGGCCTGGCATTAAATTTACGCAAGTTCGTTTCGTATTCACCATACCCGCTGAATGGTAACTGATCTCACGTGATTCACATGCATGATAATATACCGGTAAATAAAAAAATTAAAAAACAAAAACTTATTTAGGAAACCTTATACTCTTGGAATTCTTCAAGATTGTATTTACGATGCTGGATTTACCGCAAAACGACAATCAAACAACAATCTAGAATTTACCACGGAACGTAAGTAACGAGAAATAAATAAACTTGAAATTTATATTCATTTTATTTAATTAATATTGATTTAATACGTTTTTTTTCATTGATAGCCGAGGCCGCAGCACTTTATACCATGGGAAAACTTGAAGAGCATAAGATTAAAACAGGATGTATGTTATATTGCAATTCAGATTTCGACGATCTCGATTTAAAACTTTGTTTAAAGATTAATTCTTTTAATATAAAATGGTTTAGCTTCTTTCATGGTCGTTGACTGTGGCGGTGGTACGGTGGATTTGACAACAAGAAACTTGTTGCCCGATAACAAATTAAGCGAAATTACAGAACGTACGGGTGATTTATGTGGAAGTACGTATGTCGACAGGGAATTCATTATATTCCTTGAAAAGAAATTAGGACTTGCAGCTATGGAAGGATTTAGAAGGGACCATTATGGTCAATATCAATATTTGATACATCGTTTTTTTTGTCCAAGAGTGAAATTCGGATTTCAAGGAGATAGACATGATTTTCGTAATATCGATTTGGATATCGAAAGAACATGTCCAGCATTAATGAAATGTGTCAAAGATGAACATATCATAGATGAAATGGAAGAAGAAGAATGGTTAATTGAAATTTCATTTAATGATGTATTGGGCATGTTCGATCCTGTTGTCGATAAAATTTTAAAGTTGATTAGAAACCAATTGGCCTCTCCTAAGCAAAGGAAATCATGTTCTGCAATATTTTTGGTTGGTGGATTCGCCGAAAGTCCATATTTGGTCAAAAGAGTAAAGGAAACTTTCGGTTCGGTTGTATCTACCATAACGGTACCTCAAAATCCTATTACTGCTGTTTTACGTGGAGCCGTTTTATTTGGACTTGACAAAGCAACTATTGCCACTCGCGTTCTAACAATGAATTATGGTAATGTAAACGTTTTTTTTTTTTATTCTTTTTAATAAGATATGCAACAAAAAGTTATTGCTTGCTTACTTTTGTTGATAATTGACAGGAATTCGAATTTATCCGCTGTGGCGTTCTGGAGTTGACCCAAAGAAAAGGAAAACTGCTGACGGCCGCATATATAAATTTAATTGTCTAGCGGCCCGCGGTAGAGAAGTTTCAGCAGATGAACCATGTTCAGGAACATATTATCCAATTTATCCGGATCAAACGACCATTATATTTAATGTTTATGCTACTCCTAAAAATCATACTAGATTTTGTGACGAAGTTGGTATTAGTAAAATTGGAGAATTAGAAATTGAATTACCTGATAAAGAACATGGTGTTGATAGGCCCGTAGAATTTAGTTTAATGTTTGGTGAATTATTGATTACTGCTACCGCTAGAAACAAGAAAACTAGTAGAATTTATACTACTAAATTTGCTTATGTTAGAGATAATTCTTATTTTGAAGCTACTGTATGATAGTGTATAGTTGTTAATAAATTATAGAATTGTTTTTATTTTCGGCAATTCCTTTTAAGTTGGTCAAAAAATTTTTTTTTCCTTATTAATTAATTATACGGTAGTATTCATAACTATTAGTAAATCAATTTTCTTTTTCGCTTTTCCTTTCTTTCAATGCATTCGTTCCGGTTGGCACATCATCCGTTATTAATAAATAAAATATCAAAGAATTCTTTCTCAAAATCAACCGAAATCCAAAATTTACTAATTCTGACGGAACAATTTTTTTTTATCGAAAAGTGAGTAGTTATTACTCGCCGAAAACTGGTCGAACTTTATCTATAAGAATTACCTAATCATTTATTCTATCATCTACGAGAGTATCAAGAAAAATAAAGAAAAATCTATTAGTTGAAGAGTTTAGATTTTTTCAAATTTTTTTATCCCAATCGTCCTTTTTTTTTTTATTAATTAAATCCGCGTTGGCATGGGATCTTGAGAAAATAATAAAAAAAAATCTGTTAATGATATGGGGTGGTCGTTTACTATAAATAGATAGGAAGCAGATACAAATTTGATTAGATAAAGAAGTAAAAATAATTGAAACTAGGTAACGGAAACCGTTGGAAAGTCCGGAACGATAAATATGCTGTAAATAAAATGATCACAAACAACAAGCGGGCGGACAGACTGACAAAATTTATTAAGTTGCATAGTATTTAATAGTCCTTCGCTTTCGCTCCGGACTAATTAATATGTGATAAAGAAAAATGATAGACATTATTTACAGTTTTTAAGAGGTAAAAAAAAATGTGTTATATAAAAGTTACATAAAATTAGGATGATTATTTTAATTATTTAAGTATAACCTGGGATTAATGATTTCGATTATGATTGCCTTTCATTATAGAAAAAGTCTCAAAAATGAATTTAACGACAGAAAATAGAATAAAATATTCTAAAGTAAAATTAACATAAAAAGATAAGGGGTAAATAAATTAAAAATATTTATTAAAACAAAGAAAATAAAAAAAACATTAATAATAATGAGAAAAAAGCATTTTTATAAAAAAAAAAGATATAAGGAATTATATATAAAATAATAATAAAAAAAAGAATTTTTTTTTAAATAAAATTAATTATTTTATAAATAATAGTAATGAAATAGAAATTTCTTTTTATATAGAATGATTTAATAGTCAAAAATAAGGATAAATTATTAAATATAACTTTAAAAATCAATATTTTTTATATTCATATTATTATACAAATTTTTTTAATATTATATATTACATATAAGTATTTGTAAAGCTCTAAATAAATCAGTTTAGGTCAGATCAATCAAGTTATCAAATCAAGTCAGGTTAAAAAAAATCTGATCTGATTTTAATTTTTATTTGATCAGATTTGACTGAATTGTTCAAAAAAAATAATTAGCTATCATTCAAGAAGAATAATAACAAATCATTCTAATTAAACAATAAAAGTATCATTTAAGAATGATAAAACATCATTCTTGAATAATAACAAATCATTCTAATTGAATAATAAAATTATCATTCATGAATAATAATAAATTATTCTAATTAAATGATAAAACTATTATTTAAGAATAATAAAACTACTATTCAAGAACAATAAAACTATTATTCTTAAATAATAAATACATCATTTAAAAATGATAAAAATATTATTCAAAGATGATAAAACTATTATTCAAAATGATAAAAATATTATTTAAAGATAATAAAATCATTGTTCAAGAATAATTGTTGATCTGAATTTTATCAGGTCAGATCAACTTGTTAACTTGATCTGATATTAATCTGAAAATTTACTAATCTAATCTGAATTTTCAGTTAAGTAAACAGATTAATCTGATCTAATTTAGAGCTCTAGTATTTGTAATAGAAATATAAAAAATTATTAAAAAATTTTTTTATTTTATAAGTTAAATATTATTTTTTTTTTTTTTTAGTAAAATAAATTCAGATTTAATATTATTTAAACTTTTTTCAAAATACCTATATAATTATAATAGTTTAACTTAATTTAAATGAATTTTCTAAGAATTTATTTTTAATAAAATAATCAAAAGACTTAAATAATAATATATTAGTAAAAAAATATAAATTATTTTACAATAATATTAATAATATTAAAAAAAATAAAATTATCAATAATATTATAGAAAAATTATAAATATCTTTTAAATTAAATTTATATAAAATTTTTACAAATAATAAAAACTGAACTTAAAGTAATAAAAAATTTTTTATTTTTATTAGATAAATTAATAAAAAAAAAAATTTCTTATATTTCAAAAAAATAATTCACAAATAAAAAATAAAATAACAATAACACTAAAATCAAAAAATAAATTTTTTAAATATTTATTTTTTTATTTAATTTTAGCAAGTTTACATTTTAAAAAAAAAGAAATAAAAGTTAACTTAAATCTAAAACCTTTAATATCATATCAAAAAAATATTAAAATTAAAGATTAAAAGAAAAAAATAATCTTTAAGATTAGTTAAATTATAATTTTATATTTTAAATTTGAATTTTTATTTTATTTAATAATTATTTTAATTTTATAATAAGAAATATATTAAAAATTAGAAAAAAAAAATAATTTTATAATTATAAATTTTTAAAATATAGCAAATATTTTTTATTATTATTTTTTTTTAAATAATATTATATAATATTATTAAAATTCAAAATATAATCTAAATAATGAAAAAATTTTATAAATTCATTACTTTTCTTATTAAATAAATTTTATTTATTTTCTTTTTTAAAAAAATTATTCTTTTAAGTAGAATTTTTACTTATTTACTTTTATTAAAAGTTTACATAAATCATAAAACAAAATAGTAAAAAGATATTTCTTAATTTTTTACTTTAATATATATTATAATTACTATATCATTTTGAAAATAAATATCACGTAATATATATAATTTATTAATATATACGTAATGTTGTTCATTTTTCATGTCTCAAGCATTTTAAAACTGTCTCACATTATGTTCCAAGCTGTCTCACATTATGTTCCAATTGTCCCAAGCACATCTGGGACATGTCCCAGCATAACACTGATATACATAACTAATAATATAATAAATTTTATATAATAAATAAATAAATTACTATAAAAAAAGCATATCACAGGTTGCTTATTTTCAGAACTATATAGTATATTATATTTATTTCATAAAATCTAATATTTTATTTAGTATTATTTATTATAATTTAATAAATTTATTTTTTTATATTAGAAATTCTTATATAATTGTTATTTATTTTGTAAAATTTACTATGTAAAAATAATTATTATTTCTAAAGATGACTCTGTAACTTATAAATTATAGATTAAGTTTTAAACTTAAGATTGCAATTATTATAAATTTTAAAAATTAATTTTGCAATATCTGCAAATTTATGATTAATCTACAAGTTTATTTCTTAAATTATAATATTTTACAAATAAATTTATTTTTGATTTACTTTATAAAAATTAAAATTTTTCTAAAATTAATTTTATAAATATATAAAATATTAAAATAATTTTTATTTTTTAATTATATAATAAATAATTTAAGGTTATTTATAAGTTAAAAATTTTTATATTAAATAATTTTATTATTAGCCTTTAATAATCTTATTAGTATTTATTTTTAAATAAAATATTACAAAATTTATCATAAAGAATAACTTTAATTATTATGATTTTATGATTTTATTAGTAATAAAATGATTTAACTAGTTTATAAATATATAAATTTTAAGAAAATTATAAAAAATTATTATAATAAATATTTTAAAACTTAATTTAAAATTAAATTACTTAAAAAAACTTCTTAATAAATTTAAATTTTTCTAAGAAAATTGTGAAAATAAAATATATACCAAACTATATTTTTTATATAATAATTATATTATTAAATTAATATTTTATATCTTATTAAAAAATTAATACTTTTTTTTA